ACTTCAACCAAAAATCAACGATTCTAACTATTTTTCAACGTTGATTTAACATCATGTGCTATCTGGGAAGTCTCCTGCTTCCAGCTGCCTGATGAATTCCTCTACTTCCTGGTGTTGCATCATAAAAAGTCCTCTCCCTACACAGTTCTTTAAAATCTAAGGAAATATAAGTAGTCAGTCAATGATTATTCGTATTATTATTTATTTATTTACCACAATAGCTTAATAAGATATAATTTCCCCTTATCCAATTACGTTAGTGATTTTTTTTAGCTCATAATGGGAAGTTCCCTGCTAATTTAAAAAAAAAAAAGATTTCCGCTTTGCTGATCAAAAATTTAATTTTGATGTGAATAAGACGTGCTAATGCATCAGAAAAAGTTCTGCTTGGCAAAGTCTATGTGTTAGTGTTGACAGTGCCTATGTTTGTGCACGCCTGTCATGCCTTGACAGGCGTCTCAAAAACATCTTAAAGGTTTCTTGTCTCCACCGTCTTGCAGTCGGACAGTGGAAATTGAAGAAGCTTCATACAGTGCGGCTCACAGCTTCAGTCTACGAGGTCACAAGGGACCCCAGAGTAAATACTCAGCAATAATATGAGTTATATTCTAACATTAGTTTAAGACTCATGAGTCATCCGTCAGGGAGAAACTAAGCAACACTGAAAAGGAAAGTGATTGTTTGTCAAGAAAAAAACATTTCTGTTGATCCTCAGTTAGCAAATTGTGGAAATATACCAAAAAAAAAAAAAAAAACAGACACAAAAGGATATGTTTAATCTGGGAAAGTGTTATCATGGTATGGGCTTATGTCATGCAACAAAAAGCGTCAGAATGTAAAAGTTAACACGTTCATTTATTAGTATGACCTAACCAAAGTCCCAACCTTTATCAAAATAAAACAACAAAAAATGTTCGCATTTATTTGAAAAAACTGAGGTTCAACGCAGAGTAGAAGTTGTTTTGTGAAGAGAAATCGGTTAAAATCATTCTCTACTCTACATTTCTGCAGAGACTGAAGTGAATTCATGAACATTATGAAATACAGTTTCTGTGTCATGTATTATACTTTAGTTTTTGTTTGGAGTTGCATTATCATGACTGGGCTTTTATCTGCATTCAGCTGAAAAGGGGAAAAAAAAAGTATCTTTTTTGTACATATGCACACTTTAAGGATTTACAAACTTTCCAAGTCTCACGGTTCAAACTCAGTATCACTCATTCAGTCAGTGACTCACTGTGGTTTAATCTCAATGAGTAAGTGCCTGTGTTTGATTAAAATATTAGTAATGTACGTCAACTGTCTCCCGCCTCCATCCTGCTAGCGGCCCACTCCACATGTAGAGAACACTCCAGAACATGAGCGGACTGTAAAGCTCCTAGTCAGCTGGAAATGGAGTATTAATGAATGTAAATGTATTAGGATAAGTGATGTATAATTCAGGCAAAGAAGGGCGAGGGGGGGGGGGGGGGTTTTTAAAGGGAGGAGCAGCATGTGTATAAAAGATGGGATGCGAACAGGGATTCACGTGCCAGGACTGAATATTCATTGATCTGAGGGAACCATAAGTGGCGCTTTTCCTAGAACAGAGAGCCAAGAAGGGAGAACTGCGAGAAAGGCGAGACAGAATAAAAGACTCGGGGAAAAGGGCAAGTTGAATTATTGATGAATCACCTTATTGACATTTACTTTAGTTAATACAGATGTACTGTAGGTATATACTGTGAGCAAAAGAGAATAAAAAATGAAAGAGGTGAAACAGAAGAAGGATTAAAAAAAAGCAAAGAAGAAAAAAGTGACGTGAAGCGAGTGAATCAGTCACCTTTTGCCCCCCATTTCTGATTACTGACACTGTTGAGAGACTGAGGTGATATCTGTGCGCTCTTATTGTGTCAGCCTAAGGACTCCTGTCAGGAGCGGCCGGGGGGCCACCAGCACGGTTTATGTTGTGGATGGATTTCTCATTGATTGGCCATGCTGCCGTGCAGCCTCAGCCTCCCAGCAGCTGCAGCTGCAGCGGCGGCGGCAGTCATATTGGTGTTATTGAGCAGCAGTTGGATATAATCCCATTTACACATGACACGAGGCACGATTAGAACAGATTACACCTAATCCCATCAGATGGAAAGGGAGCTCAGCTCACGGAGCCACTGACATTTACATGACTGCAATTTTTTTTTTTTTTTTTTTTTTTTGCAGGGCTTTTGCGGGGTGGGGGAAGAATGTGAAGATCACAATCAATGACCTTGATTTCTCCCATCACTGAACTGTTTCATGGGTTCAAAGTTGTGAGAGTTACCTTCTCCTTTTCATATGCGCCCCTCCTTGTCTCCTCCCTTACCGGACTCGCTTTTGTTTTTTGTTTTTTTTTTTCTCCCCACCATCTCCTCCTCCTTTCCTTCCCTGTTTTTGCTCTGCTACACCGTGGAACGGCTGAAAAGCTTTTTATATCCCACACATCACAGCCTAGTTACAATCAATAGCATTTATGTCTGCCTGAATCACAAGGTTCGCGAGGTGCACGCATGGGCAACCGTCCCCGAGCGCGCTCCCACGTCCACATGCGAAAACACGCACGCGTCCGTCGCCCACACACAAGCACGCGTTTGATCTCATCCATCTTCTCCGTAACATAATTAGAATCAGCAGCTCTCAGATGACTCACGCTGCTCGAGACGGAGACTATACTTGGCTTTGATCGGAGGGTGGGGGTCTCCACTCCACTAAGAAACTGGCAGGCTCGCCCCCAAAACAGAACAGATTTAAGGTGTCAGAGAAAATCAGCTCACAGTAAATTCAATTTCGCTACACACGGCCTTCTGAGTACGCCGCTATCATCTCAGTCCATATAGATGTGTCGACATGAAATTCAGAGAGGAGAGGAGAAAGGAAAGGCTGGGGTAGCACCAGGAGGAACAGATGAGATGAGAAGAACTGGAGACGAGAACTGGGGGACCGTAGGAGTAAAAAAAAAAAAAATTAAATGAGGAGATGCGATAAGAGGGATGAGGACTGGAGGCTGATTGAGAAGCGAAGCACAGAGGGGATGGAGGAAATGTGTATCCTCTCAGCCGACTGCCGTTAGGCGGGCGTTTCTGACTCTTTAGTTGCAAACATATTCAACTTTTTCCACATTTTCTCATGTAACTTATGTGATTGACCAAGAGACTGTAGGACATTATATTGATGTGGATGGAAAATAATATAGTTTACAAATCGTTTGCATTTCTACGCATCCCCCTCCACTCGGATTCTCCTGAATTAAAGCCCAGTGCCACAAATTGCCCTCAGAAATCACCCTAATAGTAAATGCAGCTCACTTGTTGTGTGGAATATATTCTCAGCGTGAAAGCAGTTGATTTGCGAAGGTCTCGGAGAATATTACTGAGCAAACAGCTTCATGAAGAGCAAAAGAGCTTTTTGGAAGTTTAAAGCAGAGTATTATTCTCCTTCTTTGTGTTGGTCTATTTCATAAAACCCCATTAAAATACACTAAAGTGTGTGGTCATAACAAAATGTGAAAGGGCTTAAGGGGTATAAATGCTTTTGCAAGGCTCCGTGTTTTAGTTTATTGATTGTTAACTAGTCTGTTTTCTCCTCCTGGTGTCACAAGATAAGGCAGAGAGGCACTTTTCCTCCTCTGACACACTCACACAATCTATCTCGCTCTCACACACACACACACGCACACACACACACACACACACCTGTCCCTAATGTTTTAAAGAGTAATGATTGATTGCCGAGCAGCAGGTTTGACATTGAGCCCAAAGAAGACACAGCAGCAGACCCTGCTATGTCTGATATCACTATTATACCTCTGTCTTTGTTCACGTATGATTCCTGGTGTGTGTCTTTGCGACTGTGTGTGTTCATCCCACCAGGTGTGTGTACAGAAAGGCAGCTCGGAGGCCAATGTTCTTGCTGTGCCAGTAAATCACCCTACTAAAATATTAACATGTTGGAGCACACAGGGCTATTTATGTGAAGGCGGGGAGGGTGGGCACGTGAAACTCGCCAAGAGTGGCGCTGACGTCACCGTGCAAAATGCTGTGTGAGATCAAGAACGCACAAAAATGACGGTAATTTCTTCGTCCTGTCCTGCTGCAGGCCTCAGAATGGCTCTATGATCCTCTACAACCGTAAAAAGGTGAAGTACAGGAAAGATGGCTACTGCTGGAAGAAGAGGAAAGACGGGAAGACCACCCGAGAGGATCACATGAAGCTTAAAGTCCAGGGGGTAGAGGTAAGAGGCTGCAGTGAAAAAACAAGTTGATGATGGTGTTTGCTGCTTCGCTGCCAACCTCGTCCTCAACTTGCTCTTCTCGATGTGGAGGAGACACATACATGCAACTCAAACGAACACGCAAAATAACCCGCCGCTTAAAGTCTACAGACCAATTTGTGGCCTGAAAGTGAGTGGTACCCCTCTTTCTTCTCCTCCCCAACCCAGCTCCTCCCAGCTCCGGTCCCTGTCTCCCTTCCTCTCTCTTTGTGAAGGATAAGAGTGTGTTTGGCCTCAGGCCAGGAATGATGTCAATGCCTCCTTCAGCAGAACAGAGAGGGGTATCGATCCAGTCTCAAGGCAGCGTCTCCGCGTGTGTGCGTGCGCGTGTGAGTGTGTGTGTTTGAGTCACATCAGCCAGCTCAGAAATTGATTATTCAGCAGGAATGTACCAGGAGGTGAGAGGAGTGAGCATGCATGTGTCAGAAACAGAAAGAATGAGGTGGAGAGAGGAGAGCAAAGGAGAAACTGTGATGAGGCACACGGATGTTTACCGGGGACTCAGTGGTTCATGCATTAAAAGTGAACAAGGAACGGCTTGAAGAAGGCATATCGAGAAAAGGCTGAGATTAAAGATGTCGCAATTATTTACATTCTAACACTCTGCCTCACATTTCCCGTGCACTTGAACATCCACAAACAAACATGGTCACAGAGAAAAGAGTTTCTCTCCCTGGTACTTGGTCAGTAATTGTTTGTGTCACTCCTTCCCAGGACCCCTCAAGCGAGCAGGTAAGCAGCGTGTAGAGCAGGGAATGAGAATGAGGGAACGAGCAGAGCGGCGAGATGAGCAGAGGGAAAGAAGAAGGATGGGGAGAGGCAGGAAGCATTAGAGAAAAACATAACCCTGGATGGAGAGCCTCCTCATATCGAATGGAAATATATGGAAATGCACTTTGCCTTTGGCAAAACACACTTTAGAAAGAGAGCGGGTTACTTCTGAGAAGGGAAAAAAACGGCTGCAAAACATGAGTGTGTATGAGCATGAATGAAGAAGAAAACAAAACAAGCTTGAAGTGTAAATTACATACTGCCTGATTGAATGTATTTACATTGGCAGCAATTTTCCTTTTATTTTAGTAAAAGCCGTGTCAAACGTTCACATGTATGCTCGGGTGTGGGTGTCTTGATTTTTGCTCACAATGGGGAGGTAATGACCTTGATGGGAGGCTTTTCTGCGTTCACTTCATCCTTCATCTGTTACACATTACAACGCTCTTTTCACCCAGGCCAGGGTGTTGACATGAAAGAATCTTTTTTATTTCACTAAAAAAAAAAAAAAAAAAAAAGTATTTTTATTTTGCACAAAATTGTGTAAAATTCTGAAGAAACTAATTTTCATATGACTTTTTGGCTAACCATCTTGTTCAGAAATGTTTTTTCCAGCTCACAAAATATCAAAGGAGTTTACACAAAACCCAATATTAAATGCAATATCAAATCTTATAGAGAAGTCCCAAAAGTTGTGCAAAGGAATGCATTCCTTATGTTATCTCATACAGTCAGACCTCAATGACCTAGAATAGTAATTGAAAGTCTACTTATTTTCCTAATTAAAAAAAAAAAAAAAAAAAAAAAAAATAAACTGATTCATAACACACAGTTTAAGGAGATTATGTCAAGTTTTTTCATGATTATGGTGTTTTTTAGAAAGTGAAAATATTACATAAAAACAACAAAAAGTAAAAGTTTCCTTTTGCGTTAATTATTGCATCAATGCAGAGTGACATGCACACTCTAAGAAGTGTATTTGGGCTGTAGATCATCTTATGGACTTATTTACATTAATGTCACTTAATTATTTTTGCTTTAGTTATGACAACTTACTTTTTTGTGTTCAATTCACTTAAAAGTTACAAATCTTTAATTTAAAGAAACTTTTTACTTTGGCTTTCCTAGAAACAGCTGAATTCAATGCCCGTTTCATATCCTACGTCTGACCAACTCAATATATTATCATCATAAAAACACAATTCATTGACTTTATCCGATTTAGAGTGCACTCTCAAAAATGTACACTTTCAAGAATTAAGTGAGCATTAATTGTACTCTGAAAAGTGTACACTAAAAAGTGCACTCTCAAAAGTGTTCACTAAAAAGTGCACTGTAAAAAGTGTACACTTTTTAGTGTAAAATTTAGTGAGTGCACTTTTTAGTGCACATTTTTGAAAGTGCACTTTTTGTGCACACTTTTGAAAGTGCACACTTTTGAGAGTGCACTTTTTAGTGTACACTCAAAAGTGTACACTAAAAAGTGCACTCACTAAGTGTACACTAAAAAGTGCACTCACTAAGTGTACACTTTTGAGTATATACTCAAAAGTGTACACTTAGTGAGTGCACTTTCAAAAGTGTACACTGAAAAGTGCACTGTAAAAAGTGTACACTTTGTAGTGAACAATTTAGTGAGTGCACTTTTTCGTGCACATTTTTGAAAGTGCACTTTTTAGTGCACACTTTTGAAAGTGCACTTTTTAGTGCACACTTTTGAGAGTGCACTTTTTAGTGTACTCAATGTATTTGGGTTGTAGTTCATGTTATGGACTTATTTACATTAGTCTCACTTTATTCCTTTGCTTTCGTTATACCAACTTACTTTCATGTGTTTAATTAACTTAAAAGTTATAAATCTTTAACTTAAAGGAACTTTTTTACTTTGACTTTACTTGAAGCAGTTAAGTTCTACGCCGTGTTTGTATCTTACGTCTAATATCATGACGCGAGCTTCAGCCGGGACAGATCCTGCACCAACCAGGGTGCCGTGGTGGCACATGTGTAGAGCACAACAAACACAAGGAGGCCTTAGTCCTCGACGCAGCCATCGTAGGTTAGATTCCATGATGATGACCTTAGCTACTTTTCTTCCCCCTCTTTCATTACCTGCTTTCCTGTCTAACTACCCTCAAATAAAGGCTGTCTTAGCACCAAAAAATGTTAAAAGAGTGATCCTTTTTTAGTTTATTTCTTTATTTGATGTAAACTAAATGATTTGAGTATGACTGGCTTAAATTTGTCATTTTAAACACACTTAATAAATTCTGATTAAAAAGTCTTAATATACTGAGTTGGATAAACTTAGCAAATTGAGTTGGTTAAGCCTAATAAATGAAGTTGAATAAAAATAATTTAACTTTTTTGTTACCAATTGAAGCATTTCAGTTAAGTTCAGTTAAGGTGAACATCCAGTGGTTCTGCTCAGGCATTGACGAAGCAGCCATTAAAGCAGCCATTGATGCTTTTGACAGTGTGGGCAGGTGCTGAGAAGATAAAATCAGCATCTCCATATAACTTATCAGCAGAAGGAAACTTGAAGTGCTCCATTCTCCACTTCGTTGTAAACAAATGTGTTACCTCCTTGATTGCTTGGAGATCTAGTTCTCAAAGTGCTCAACAAAATCCACACTTGTGTTTACTACAAATGATACTGACTGAAAGCTTTGTTTTTCAGACTTTGTGAGCACAGATGTTTCTTGTTGCAATCTACCTCGCTACTTTTGCAGGTTGTACTGCATGCTGGGATGAGTTGCAACAATAAGACAGAAAAAGCAAAAATAGACGCTAATTCACAAGTGTATTTGAGGAAAAGGAACGACCGAGAACAATGTCTGACACTCTTTAAGACGGACCATAACCCAAACACTGCTTCTGTTGAGTTTTTTGTGTGTGTGTGTGTGTGTGCGTGTGTGTGTGTGCGTGTGGGTGCGCTTGTGTGCGTGTGTGTGTGTGTGAGAGAGAGAGTACATGAAGAAACATCACATCGAAAAACAAACATATTGGTCTGGAAAAAACCAGCATCAATGACAAAAGTTTTTATTGTCTGTGCCGTTTATAATTTCTCCAGTTATGGATATTAACACCATTGATGTGGATCGGTTCTCTCTAAAACCATACTCACAGTCTGTTAATATGTTGTATTTATAGATGAAGGCATCAAGTGTTTGGGTTACTCAAGGATTTGGAGACTTGGCAAAGTGATGCTGCTGCCTGTAATTAGTGATTAGACAAATTATTGTAGCTGTCACTGTGTAAGTGCCAAACAAATGTTGCCTTTGGTCAAAAAAATTACTTTTTTCCTCATTAACACACCAGCTTTAAACCCTGCGTCTACAATGGTGGTCCCGGGAGAAGAGCAACTAAATACTAAAAGACTCACAAAACTTCTGTCTGTTGTCTAAATGTGGAACTGATGTCGTTACAACTCTCCTTGTATTAGAATCATCTCCACCACCTATTCAATAACGCTTTTTTTCTTCCACTTAATTTTCCATTAAGATGCTTGCATGCTTTAGCAATTACCAGTTGTAGCCTCCCCAATGACTGTCTGCTAGACAGCCGTCAAGTCAGCAGACTGTCCCATTACTGTGTAACATGGTTATATCATTACATGTCTGTATTAAAAATACTATTTATTTATTAGTGTATTATTGCAGCTTTCTGAGGATCTGAGTTTTTGTTTGCTGGACCCCCATCAGTCAAAATTACCAGGAGTGTATCTTTTAAATACACCAATCTGTGTGTCATTTTTAATGCAATTATGGGAATATATTTTTTTTTCTGTGGTATTCTAATTGACCAAATTGCGCCTATATTTGGTCGTGTTTACAACTGTAGTGTTCTTATAAGTGTCCTTTGTTCACTCAGTGTTTTCTTGCAGTCTTCTCATAGTCCCCTTTACTAACAACTAGTAAGCTAAAAACTTTTGAAGTTTTTATTAATTCCAAATGTCCTGTTTTGCAAAGGCTGTGAGTTTCTCTGTTCCTGCTGCTGTTATTGCCCACGTCAGATTGATGGTATTTTAGAAAAGACATTAGGGGAAAAAAACACATACAGCATGTTTGCAATTTACTTTCAGCACCACAATCAATACAACCTAAGTGGGTATAACCTAAGTTCTCCTCTCCTGTTCTCTCCTTCCCTGTCCTCTCCTTCTCCACTCCTTTTGCAATTTTTCTTTGTCCGGCTTCCTTCCTTTTTCTTGTCTTGTTCACCATTGCGATCTCCTCTCCTCTGCTGTCCTCTCCTATCCTCTCTCCAGTGTCTGTATGGCTGCTACGTCCACTCCTCCATCATCCCCACCTTCCATCGTAGATGCTATTGGCTGCTGCAGGTAAGCTCTCCTCCCTTTTCCCACTACGCCTCTCTCGCATACAGCACCAGTCAGACGTCTACATATACTAATTTTGACCATGCATACTACTTTAATTTTGGGCTTTAATGATACCTTTGAACTATTCTGTTCTCAGGGTGGAGTGTTGATATAATACATATTTTCAGAGGATAACTAAACTCAAGAATTGATGATCAAAACACTATCGTTTGGACAAATTTCCCTCCCCAAGTTGTATCTTCACACACACTTTTATTTATTTATTTATTTTATTTTAGCCAACAACAAACTTCTGGCTTAATTTTAGCTGGATATTGTAATTGACCACTATTCCTGGTAGAACTGGTAGAGCTCATTTTAGTTTTTCTGATTTCCAGGCATGAATTTTGAATTCAAGTAGAGTCCATAAATTTTAAATATTGTTGAGCTCAGGGCTTTCCAGAAACTGACTCATCTGATCCACACAGCTGTAGTGTGTGTTTGGTGTTATTTTCCTCTTGGTGCAACCAGAGCCGGTTTTTGATACAGGCAACATGGGCAGTTGCCCAGGGCGATATTAGAAGTTGCTAGCCCAGGGTGTTATTTATGCACAAGCCACTTCTGAACTACCCTTTGTTCCCAGTAGATCAAAAGAAACTGATTGTGGTGTTCAAGAACAATGATGGCGTAGTTCACAATTGTGAATTATGCTTAACAAGCACAAAATACACAGCAAATATACTATACTGCGTATAGTGAATTAGAGAAAATCCACAATAAATTCCAACTTTTGCACAATATACTACTTTGTAAAACATTGCACTAATTTGTTGTAATCAAACCACCCTGGAAAAAAGTTGGTGAAAAAAAAAAAAAAAGAATCATTGAAAGCCCAAAATCAACATGAGGTCGCATGTAAACTTCTGACCGGCGCTGTATTAACGCCGGCAAAATTCTGACTGCATTCGTAAGGCGTCGATACACACAGCGAACATTATTATTAAAGCTGTTTTAGGTTTTATTTTACAAAGTAGAACACAAGCTTTCACTGTTAGATCATCAAACAGGTGAAAACTGAGCTAAACCATAAAGCGGCGATAAAAGTCCTCCCCTTCCAAATTAATGAGGCAGACTCAGGCTGCTGAAAATAATACTCCAGGACTGGGCTGATAGTAAAAATTTATGTTGTTTGGCTTACTGGTGTCCTACCTACGAATATAGACCACTATGGAATACACTGCTCATATAGGTCTCGAGAAAATGTCACACTGGGTGCAGGGCGGTAAAAATAATTTTTACAGGAGCTGACTGTAACTTCCTGAGAACAGTGTGTTATCTAACCCCGACTCTCAGCGCTCGCATCAGGGACTCAGGCGCTGCTCTCTGTGCGGTCCTTTCTAAGAAAATGTCCTGGAGCTACAAACTACACACACACACACACACACACACACACAACATGGCTTCTGCTTCAAAAGCACACACACACACACACACACACACACACCTTGACAGGTGTCTATTGTGTATAAAAGCATGTTGCTTTTCATAAAGATGTTGGACTCACTCTGCTGCTCATGTGAGCGGCAACAGAGAGCAGCTGTTGTGTGCATATGCGCTCTCTTTCTCTCTCACACACACACACACACAAACACACACACAGGTCTTTCACTCTGCTAATTCAAGAAACAGACACCTCATCATCTTCACATGACATATTGCATAATGACTCCCGGACACGTCTGGCTACATTTAAACTCCCCCAATTTTCATTTCTCACAGCTAATTTCAAATGAAAATATCGAATACCATTGCATATTTAAAATATGGACACAGCTATGTAGTTGTGATCTTTTTTTTTTTTTGCGCAATTTTTCCACATAAAATCTACATGGAAATATCAGCTATCTCAGTAAATTGAAATATTACACCCCGATCCGGTATATGTTCTTTTTCAGCATGCTCCACTAGTTGGAATCTCGCCATCTTGAAAATGGGAAGGGACATTTGACTTGCTTTATCTGTAATGTGCCATTTTCTGCTCTTTGCACAGATATCAAAACACATCAGCGAACATGATTATAAATCAGTCCATGAACAGTGTTGCACCGCAGAGCGCTGAGCAGCAGCGGCCCAGTGTGCTACCCCTCTTTTGGAGAGAAAAGTGTTCCACCTCAGCGGGTCCACCCCCTAACCTGAGTCTGTCTACTGAATCTTTCATCGTGAAAAAAAAAAAAGTCTCCGTCTCTCAAGCTCTCTCTTTCTCTCTCTCTCTTTCTCGCACACACACACATTAACACACGCGTGCGCACGAGCGAACTTGTTGAATCATTCATAGGATAGAAATTCCATAGGTCTGTCGGTGACCTGCAGTATAGTGAGAGCTGCTCTCCCTGTTTCTCCTGTTCAGTCTTTCCATATATATCCTGTATCGTGCTCACACACACACACACAAACACACGTGTAGACACTGCAGCGTTAGAGAGAGAGAGAGAGAGTGATGAGTGGGCTCAAGCTGTTAAATCTTTTATGGGCAGGTGAGAGAATCTTATCTGACACGCTACGTCTGACCTCCTCCCTGTCCTCTACTTTCTCTTTCACTTTTCCTCCCAGTTTACCTCCTCCCCCTGCCCTTCTTTCCCATTTGTGAATAGCTTGTTTTTCTTCTTCTTCTTCTCCTCCTTCTTCTTCTTTCATTCCTGCCCTCTGTGCGCTTTTAAAAACCCATCACTGAATTAATATATGGATGTCATTTTACAATAAACACAGCACAGTGTGCATGTCGATGTTTGTGTGCTGCAGAACCCGGACATCGTGCTGGTGCACTACCTGAACGTGCCGGCAGTGGATGACAGCGGGAAGCCGTGCGGTCCGGTCCTCTGCTCCATCAACACGGACAGGAAAGAGTGGGCCAAGTGGAGCAAAGAGGAGCTCATTGGACAGCTCAAACCTATGTGTGAGTTTCCTTAACTTGAGCACAAACCCTCTTAAAGAGTCACCAGAGGGCAGGTTGTGCAGCTGTTCGTCTGTCCCAGACTGACATCACTAATTTAGCTTTTATTTAAAACGTTGTCATGACGTCTAATACTAGCACATACGACGCTTTCATACAGGACCTTGGAAATTATTCACACCCCTTGAGGGCTTGATGTCACATGATGAGCGCAGACTTCGATGGATTTTACTGGTGTTTTTGTGTGACGCACCAACACATATTAGCGCGTAACTGTGAAGTAGAGGGAAAAGGAGATATGGTTTTGAAATTTCTCACAAATGAAAGTTTAAAATCACTGATGTGTTTTAGCATTCAGCAGCTCCGAGTCACTATTTTCCAGAACATCCTTCTACTGCAATAACAACTGCAAATCTTTTGGTGAACATCTCTGGAGACCAAAGGTTTTCCACATTCTTCTTTGCTAAATGGTTTAAGCTTGTTCTGACAGCATGGAGGGTGTCTATGAACATTGGTTTTCAAGTCTTACCACCAGTTCCCAGTTAATTAACGATTTATAATTCCCCCCCACCCCCTTTCACAATTGAACTAGTGAAGGCTTTCCCAAACTTAATGTTTAGAGACACTTACGGGTCTCGGGTGGGGGAGGATTTGTTCTATGTGTTTCTGTGTGGATTCATGTTTCTTTTTTTTTAGATTTTTGGAAAATGACAACCTGTTTTGGAAAAATACGTTCCCATGTGGATGCGGCATAAGTCCTCCAGCATTTTCAAAATGTTGTGGGAAAAGTCTGGGAACGGCCTTTCGCTGCTGCAACATGATTTGCCAGGAGACAAAGCAAATCAAGGATGAGCAAGTTTAGTGTGGAAGAGGTTTTACTGGATTCCTGACCTCAGCCCGAAGGAACACGTTTGGATGAATGAAAGCAGACACTACAAGCCACTCCTTCTCAACCAACATCAGTGTCTGACCTCAGAAATGTGCTCCAGGAAATCTTTTTTTTTTTTTTTAATCTTATGGAAAGTTTGGAGGAGTTGAGGTTGTTATAGTTGTAGCAAAGAGATGGCGAACATCACACAGTGAAATGTATATTTTAAAAATGGGCTTCCACTCTCTCACACTGGCTGACAAGTGTCTTTGGTTCAAAAAGTAGTTGCAAATTCAAATGAGTCAATCTAGTGGAGCAGTAAATAATATATTAGATTACATTCTTTATCATTCCAAGTAGGAAATGTATTTGTCGCAGTAGTATTAACTGTTGCAAAGTTTAAAACATCATGATTTAGAACATCATGATGTTTTAAACTTTGGAACAGTTAATACTACTGCGACAAATACATTTCCTATACAATTAGTATGCTAATTGGTGCTGATTTAAATGAATTACATAAGAACAGCAAAAGACAATGTGAGTAGCACAGAAAATGAATAAATTATTTACAGGACGTCGTGCCGGAGATTGTAAAATATGCATAATTTAACCTTCTTTTACAAATGGTTTGTGATAATCATTCATGTATGTGTTTGTATATGTGAAACAGCCATATAGTAGCCATGTATTCACTGGTAAACATTTGTCATCTGAATGATAAAACATTTAATGTGGTGATTAAATACCCTGAAGTGAATGACTCATTGAAGCAGATGGCCTTTGCTTGCAGCATGCAATAAACATTTCAACCATCTTAGCAAAAAAAAAAAAAAAGTTACTTTCTTGTGTCTATTATGAACTTATTTGTTCTAAACTCAAGTCTAATTTTAATATCGAGGTCAATGAAAAGTCACTTGCTTAGGAAAGTCATATACGACACACAGTTATACTACAAACTATGCTGCTGCATGCATGGTCGTTATGATTTTTGTTCCTTACATATTAATATATTATATTTGTAGTTGTTGGTAATTAAAATGAACACGGTTAAAATGAGTAAAATCTGAGGATTTGATTATTTTGATAAAGTCTTACTAAATAAATGTATTGTTTGCATGCAAAAATATGTATGATACATTCATTCATTCATACTTAGTTGTTTGATTTAGTTTCATCCTCATCTGCACAAACTGAGCGTTATCAATTAAAAGCAATTTACTAATTGTCAGTTTTACAGTGAGGTTTGACATCTTTTCAGTACCAAGATTTGTAAATGGTATTTTTATTTGACGCTAGGCAGTTTTGTCTATAATTAAATCATCCAGCTGCTTATAAAAGTACAGATGGTGGTACTAGCTGATTTCATTAATCAATTAGCCGACTGCCAGTAAATTATTGGCCACTATATAGCTGATCACTTGATTAATTTTTCATTTAAAAAAAAATAATTCACACCTCTACCTTCACATGTTGCTGCTTTGAGTTTCTTATACTTTTGTCAGTTTAATTCAGTATTGCAAAGCTTGTAAAATTGAGCTATTGGAAAAACCATATTGGGATTCAGTATTCAAAGTCTCAAAAAAAAAATCCCTGCAGTGATTTGTTTCAGTTAGATTAATCCCTGGTTAATGACAGACTTCCAAAACACTTGTAATTTAGCTAGGTTTTACCAGACGCACTAAGTCGCTGGTTGCTGCGGCTGTCAGAGTCATGCTGCCACCTAGAGGCAGACACAAACTGCAACCATGAAACGGGGAAATTCATAGCAAACCGACAAGCATGCCTAAAATATCCAGCATTTCATATTCATGAAACAGCGTGAAGGACTAGATAATTTTAGTACTCACACTGACACACCCATACCCACACGCCATTATGTAAGTCCAATCTATTTTGTTGACGTGGTCTGGAAAGGTAGTTTGAGACGAGCCCGAAGCCGTGTGTGATGCAAGTGCTACTTCATGTGCTAATTGTTCGCAGAGCCTTCTGCTTTCTTGTGTCCCTTGGCACATGATCCCGTCTGTGCCTGTGTCCTGTGGTTGTTGGTGATGAGGGGGAGGTGTTACCTCTGAAATTAAAACTGCAAAACGCTGGGAATGAAAATGAGAACATGTGGTTTTGCATATTAGATGTTTAATTTCCCGGACAAGAGCAACAAATGCATAGAATGTATCCTAACACCTTGTTTGTGACAGTTATATCAGAGTACTTGTGTAATCGTTGCGGTATGGGTTCTGAACAGTAGAGGGCGCTGTTACATCCTCTCTAATTGCAATCTGGCAAAAAGATTCATATCTTTTGACTTTTTTTACGTTTTTGTCTTGTTTCACTGTCTTTTATTTTGTAGATCATAATTGTGATGCAAAGGGAAAATTATACTGTGGGTTTTTTTTTTAACAAATACAAATCTGAAAGTGTGGATCCTCCTTTTACTAGTGGAACAGGTTCTACAAAGGTGTTTCTTTTTTCAATCCTCTTTGCAAAAAGGCACAGCCTCATTCAGATTGGATAAAGAGCTTATACTTTGTCACAGATTCATATTCAGATCTAGAGTATGTTCTTGTTCTACTGGAAGGAGAACCACTGCCTCAGTAGCAGGTTTTTTGAGCCCATATTGGGTTTTTTACTGCCAATCCCAAACAATCTTCCCTTCAACTCCGATCAACTACCCTGTGTTAAAGAGAAATATTGTCACTTAGCCTTTTTTGGCCAGAACTTTAGGGCCATGTCAGGTCCTCATAGTTTGTGGCAAACTGGAAACAATGTCTTTCTTCATGCCACTCTGTCAAAAATACCCGTGTTGGGGATTGCACAGTTACTAGTTATTCTGCTGGTGGATTGTTGCAGATCCTTCATGATCTCTCTACTTCTTTCTCAAAGCTTTCTTTGGCTGGTATGTCAGTTAAGGTGTTTTATACTCTAACTCTACTACAGTTGCTAGTTTTCATGATGCCGTTTGTTCACCATGTTCTCTAACAAAACCTCTGTGGCCTTCAAGGAAAAGCTGTGTTTATGATTAAATTACACAAAGGGGGACTTTATTTTGTGACTCTTGGATCTACTCGGTTCCACTGGATTTTATTCAGGGGTTTTAGAATGATGGGTGATAGATTCGAGTGGATTCCAAAGTTTTCAGGTTTTTATTTGTAAAAGAATTATGCGCTTCTTAGCTGTGGTCTTTCACATCCTGATACTTCCACTGAAATGCAATAAAGTGTATAGTTTATGATGCAAAATGTATAATAATTTTGCAAGGTGGAATAGAAAATTGCGCACTTTCCTGAATCCTGTTCTCTTTTCTGTCTCTTCTGTCAGGTGCTGGAAGCAGCCTGCATCAGAAGTGTTCCAGTGTGAAGCAGCGTATTATCTCATCCAAACAGGAATCCGGAGCAGGAGGAGGGACAGCAGTAGGAACCAGTGTAGCAGCAGGCCAGAGAGCTGAGGAAGCAGATGGCACGGAGGTCCAGAACAGTGATGTATCGGAGGGCCAGACTGAGCCCAATCCTGGCGGGGGGCGGAGTCGGGCAGGTGGAAGCGAGAGGAGGAATGGCAGGATAACCAAACCTTCCCTTCTCCCACAGAGCAGCATGGAGGTGTCTTCTTCCACCTCGACCAACCAGGTGGAGGTACCCGACACCACCCAGAGCTCCCCTCTGTCTATTGCCAGCGACATGGCTGACAGCCCAGCTCTCGCCATCGGCACCGGCTTGTCACAAAGCACCGCTGTGTTCATGTCTGAGGTCACCACTCTAACTGGCGATTCGGTATACTCGGCCGGCCACACCCACCTGTTGGCTTCGACCCACGAGAGTACCACCACGGGCATCCTGTTGGCTGTCGCCCCTGACAACCAGAGGTTTGCATCGTTCAGTGGAGGAGTGGGCTTAGGGGAAGGAGGAGAGTTGGTTCTGTCCAGTTCTTTAGACTCTGGAGTTGGAGTCAGCCTTCCTGAGACCACCATGACCTTTGACCCCGACTGCTTCCTCAACAATCCCAAGCAGGGCCAGACGTACGGGGGAGGCGGAGGGAAGACAGAGGGATGCAATGGTGACGATGGGGGACTCCACTGCTCCACTAACGGCTTCGTTTACAACCCGGCCCTCGTCAACAACATCAAGACGGAGGCCACGCCGCTGGAGCAGCCGCTGGCGACCCAGAACAGCTACGTGGGCGAAGGAACCGGCCTTAGCCCCAGCACCACCCTGGAGCAGATGGACTTCAGTGCTGTCATGTCATCGGCCTGTGTCTCAAGTCTGAACCAGCCGTCACACCACCCCTCCCCGGGCCTCTTCCTCCAGGCCTCCCCCCAGACAACCCAGCCCTCTCAGCTGCAGGTCAACGGCACCAAGGCAACCCAGGAATCCAGCGAAACGCGGGCCTACATCGGCCTCCCCCCGATGGTCACTGAATCTCCTGTCACCAACGGAGAACCGCATACACACCTCCACCAAGTGAGCACAGACCAGCTGTGTGCGAGGAATGGGCAAGCGGCAGCGGTCGGGTCGTTTCCCCTGACAACGCAAGACGTTGAGCAACCAGACAGCAGGAGCCACCAGGAGGTCGCAGCCTTGGAGAAACCGACGGAAAACGGAGAAGATTTGCTCCTCAAGGCCGGGGATCCCCACGAGGCCTATGCGAGTGTTGACGCCAAGCATTTTCTCCAGCCCACAGATGACACCGGAGGGGGGGACGAGGGCGGAGGGGGCGGAGGAGGAACGGAAAACGAAATTATATGTAATGGCGTGAGCATTTCAGGTGCCAGTAGCTCAGTGGTGGCCAGTCCTCAGTCGATAGGTGTAGGTGCTAACATCGAAGGTGCTCTCTACAGCTCTCCGCTTCCTCAGCAAGGTGCAGGGGTACCGGCAGCGACAGCCGGGGCCGGGGCGGCTATCAGTCTGGAAGGTTTCGAGGCGTCATTTGGAAGCCAGTTCTCCGATCTCATCAACGACTTCATCTCCGTGGAGGGGTCCGGGGGAGGGGTGGCGGCAGCCGTCTCTGGGGTCCTGATGCCCCAGGAGGGCGCGGCAGGAGAGGAACACAGCACCGCGGCCGGTCACCTGCAGGCGTCCGAGGTGGAGCAGGGGGCACTGGGACTGCTCCAGGAGACCGGCAGGCTGTTCGGCGTGACGGACTACTCCCCAGAGTGGTCTTACCCAGAGGTTAGTAAACCCAACATGTAATCATTATTTACTCATCACTGCTCCCCACGGGAAAATTAGTCCATGCTCCACATGATTGATGGTAGCTTGTACTGACGTTAACTGTTGCAATCACGCTTAGCCCACTTTGCACTGACAGCTTGGCTACAGTATGTGGTCATTAAGGAGGCCGAATATTTCAGACTCAGCTGATTGGGTTTTAATGAAATTTCAATTTTTCCCCAGATTCCCCTGGGTGGCCTCATTAATTTGAGCGTGTACCACTTCTAATAACTCAGACAGCAGTTCTGTCATTGAATTATGATGAAAGTTGAGGAAACTCTTCATCTTCAAACCACCATGTTTTAAAAACAGTCTCATAGCGGAAATAATTATAAGCAATTATTAAATAAAATCCACATTTAACTGCAGATTTAGTCTGGGATTATTAAAAAAAAAAAAAAAAGGAATTCAGAACATAAAAAACATCCAAAATGCACAGTACTTTGCAAACATATTCAGACCCTTTGAACTCCCCATTTTGTTCCAATCATGAGCTTATATGTATATTATTAGGAATTTATGTGATAGATCAGCATAACTTAGGGCACAGTTTTGCTGTGGAAAGAAAATTATTTGTGGTTTTTAACATTTTGCTTACAAAAGCTTTGTGTGCCGCACCCTGTTGTCTGCTACTTATAAATTACTGGTGTTTAAAGCCTGAGGGCCATTTAGGTACAACACAATATTTTCTCTATTAAAAAAACATGTTTTGTTTTGTTGTTGTTGTTGTTTTGCTCTCATTTTAACATAATAGCAAGTAAAACCACAAGCACTGAACATTTTACTTTAAAAACAGACTTGGGTACAACCATTCTTTAATGTTAGTTAAATAGGTTTTCGAACATTTTGTAGATCAACAAAACATAAAACATTCGACCCAAATAGTCAGGTAACTGTACAACTTTCTTGTAATAAAACAAGCATGCAAGACGATTTTCCAAAACCAGAATAATCTGCATTATTATTTATTTGATCGACATACAGATAAATAGAAAATACTTCACTATAAAATGATTTCCCATTTTATCTTGGGGGGGGAGGGGGGAAAGACCCCTGAGTACTTTCAACGTAATTATTTTTACACACCACTGCAAACCTACCAAGACAGGGTGTCCATCTCTACCGCTCTAACCCTTACAGGTTTTGTTTGAGGTTAATTATGATCCAACTCTTAAATGTAAATGACTGGTCATTAAATCATCCCATTTCAAGCTTACCTTGCTATTTGCTGATGTATTTGCAGACTGAAAACAAGTTTTCTGTTTTGATGCTGTTGTTGTGGTAACACATCCTTTTCTCATTATTAGAGCTTTTTGTGCCTCCTAGTTTCATTGTAAAGATTTTGAGCTCCTGTCAGAAAATGGTTGTTTTTTGGGGGGGTTTTTTTGCTCCACAGGGGGGAGTAAAGGTGTTGATCACTGGTCCCTGGTTGGAGTCCAGCAGTGAATACAGCTGCCTCTTTGACCACATCAGTGTCCCAGCTGCCCTCATCCAGCCCGGGGTCCTGCGCTGCTACTGCCCAGGTAACACACCAGAATAAATTAACGTCAGAAGAAAATGTATCAAACACCAAATATTCCACATATTCTTGTGTTTACAGAATGCTTTTCAGAGCAAAAAGACATACAAAAATAAAAAAAATAGGCTAAAAGTGATGAGGTAGACGAATAAAATGGTAAGGAAGATACAGGAAGGAGTTGGCTCTGTGTTTGCTGGATAAATAAAGGTCAGTTTAGATTATTCTTTCAGCAAGACATGGGAAAATATAGTAAATAATCCCCTCTACCTCGCTGTGTGGTTTGTATAATCCACATTAGGGCAACATTATGTTTGAATTAATCATTTTGTGTTTAGCTATATTGTGTGGAGTTTATTCAGTATTAACCAAAAATAACTCTCCTGTTATCTGTCTTTTTTTTTTTTTTTTCCCCAGCTCATGACACAGGACTGGTGATGCTGCAGGTGGCCATGGGTGGCGAGGTCATCTCTTCTTCTGTGGTGTTTGAATATAAGGCGCGCGACCTACCAGCACTGCCATCTTCTCAGCACGACTGGCTGTCCCTGGATGGTGAGAGAAAATATTTGTTTACTGAAAAGATAAACCTGTCTGTTCACATTCAAGAGGAAAGAGCCTTTCAGTCACGCACACCTCGACTTTTGCCTAAATGTGTCAGGCACATTTTTTGAATTGAGAAAAGTTACATGCGAGTGTACAAATTATTTCTCAACACAGTGATTAAATGGATAAAAGAAAAACATATGGAAGTATAGCTTGAGCATGAGTTAAGTGCTGCACTATAAACTGAAAGATAATAACAGCAGTTCGGTCTTTTAAGAGCTTGAGGCACCCTGACTGTGTAGCAGTCGGGTGTTTCTGCTTTTGATGTTGCAGTTTGCCCGATGGCAGCATTTCAGGGAAAGGGCATGAGAAGTCTCTCAGAGCCTTGTTCCTGCAGCAGCTCTGAAGCAGATTTTGGACAGAGGCTAGGGGCCCTTACTGTCCACTGCAGGGCCGTCTTATCTACCATATTGCAGCTGGAGCACCATGCTGAGACGCCGTACGTCAGCCCCTCTCCCAACCACAGCTTTGTGGACGCTCTGGGAATGCTTGCAGGGACTGATGTTTGTTTCCGTTTCTTCAGGAAAAAAAAAAAAAAAGGATCCTGTTTCTGCTGGTCCTGTTTCACAATCCCTTTGTCCTTTACATAGATAAGGTCATGAAAAATCTAGACTCTGAGGAGATAAATGCTACCCCCTCAATGTGTGCCCCAGTTGTGATCTCTGGAAGTCATTTGCATAGATTCAGAAAAGGTTTTAACTGTGCTGAATGAAAAACAGAAGTACTTTTGGTCCTAATTTGACACATGCTCTATTTTTTTTTTGAAAAAGAATCATACTGAACATGTAATTACATATAAATCAAATAAAGTTGCCTCGTTTGAACAATTATTAAATGTAGACGTTGATGATTTTTGTAGAGTTTCTGTGGCATGGTCAGTGCTGACCTATGAGAGGTTCTGTGTTTTACTCACATTATGCTGCAGCCTTTTTCTCTGCCTGAAAAACCTTAGACTATAAGCTTAGACTTGTTTTCTATTGTGGTTGAAGTTAGCATTATGAAACTGGACGGAGGGCTGTCTGAGAGTGGACGTATGGAAGAAGATGTGGGTACATGTATTAATGTTTCCTTTCACGTCACTCGGTAAAATTAAAACAAAACATGTTTTTAACTGCTTTGGCTGTGTTTTATTATATTTCCTATATACTGTACATGCATGCAATACTTAAATATGACATTTCCAGAGAACATAAGAAGCAGCAGTGACTCAGATGGGGGAAGCCCAGGAAGTAGGTGTGCTTTAGAAATGCTATAACCAGGGCCGTCACTAGCTACTTGGGTGCCCGGAGCACCCAAATGCTTTGTGTTGCAGACTGACCCACTCCTGAAATGAACAATAATTCAGCATTTGTCAGTGTTTTTCTCTTTAACTATGAGAAATGTAATATGTTTGTTGTTTTTGTGTTGTTTTCACATGTACTTTTTTGATGCAAACCCCTAAAAACAACTAAAAGATCTGATTTCACAGGCGCGAATTGACCTATATGATCAATATGATTAAGACAAGTATTGATTTTCTGGATCATTAGAAGAAGCTTATTTTATTTTATCTTAATTTATAAGTATTTATTTATTTGCTTCACTAGATGTTTCACACCTTCTTAACTTTCTTATATTTTGCTACATTACAACTAAAAACTTGTGCTTTATTATGATTTTGTGTGATAGAGCAACACATTGCAGAATACAAGTCTGAATTTTCATGTGGAAGGTAATAGATGTTTTCAGACATGGTCTTTAA